ACAATTCAGAGCATGGGTAGCCACTTGGTAAGACACAAAAATCTGGTCCTGCACTCACCCTGAGCCAAACCCTAGCACCTTTCTTTGTTTTGAAAGCTTTGCTACACTCACCCCATTGAAAGGTTTTTCTCATTAAAAATTTTCTCATGTTGGAATGACACTTCACTTCCAGACATAAGATTTTCCACATTAATTCATGCAAAGGGCTTCTTTTCTGTGTAATTTCTGATGTGCTGTAAGACATCGCTTCTGGCTGAAAGCTTTACCACACTCACCACATATGTAAGGTTTTTCTCCAGTATGAGTGCGCCGATGAGCTTTGAGATGTGATGTCTGAATGAAGCCTTTGCCACATTCACCACATACATGGGGTTTCTCTCCAGTATGAGTTCGCTGATGAACAGTGAGGTCCTTCTTCCTGATAAAGGTTTTTCCACACTCATCACATACATGTGGTTTCTCCCCAGTATGAGTTCGCTGATGAACAGTGAGCGCATTCTCCCAAATAAAGGATTTTCCACATTCACCACAGACATGGGGTCTCTCTCCTGTATGAGTTCGTTGATGAACAGTGAGGCCCTTCTTCCTGATAAAGGCTTTTCCACATTCACCACATATATGAGATTTCTCTCCAGAATGAGTTCGCTGATGAACAGTGAGGTTCTTCTTCCAGATGAATGCTTTTCCACATTCAACACATACATGGGGTCTCTCTCTAGTATGAGTTTGCTGATGAACAGTGAGACCCTTCCTCCTGATAAAGGCTTTTCCACATTCACCACATACATGGGGTTTCTCTCCAGTATGAGTTCGCTGATGAATCATGAGCTTATTCTTCCAGGTAAAGGCTTTTCCACATTCATTACATACATGGAGTTTCTCTCCAGTATGAGTTCGCTGATGAATATTGAGCTCATTCTTCCAGATAAAGGCTTTTCCACATTCACCACATACATATGGTTTCTCCCCAGTGTGAGTTCGCTGATGAACAGTGAGCTCATACTTCCAGGTAAAGGCTTTTCCACATTCACCACACACATGAGGCTTCTCTCCAGTATGAGTTCGCTGATGAACAGTGAGAAGATTCTTCTTGATAAAGGCTTTTCCACATTCACCACATACATGCGGCTTCTCCCCAGTGTGAGTTCGCTGATGAACACTGAGCTCATTCTTCCAGATAAAGGCTTTTCCACATTCACCACACACATGAGGCTTCTCTCCAGTATGAGTTCGCTGATGAACAGTGAGCGCATTCTTCCAGATAAAGGTTTTTCCACATTCACCACATACATGGGGTCTCTCTCCAGTATGAGTTCGCTGATGAACAATGAGGCCCTTCCTCCTGATAAAAGCTTTTCCACATTCACCACATACATGGGGTTTCTCTCCAGAATGAGTTTGCTGATGAACTGTGAGCTTATGCTTCCAAGTAAAGGCTTTTCCACATTCACCACACACATGGGGTTTCTCTCCAGTATGAGTTCGGTGATGAACAGTGAGCTCACACTTCCAGGTGAAGGTTTTTCCACATTGACCACATACATGGGGTTTCTCTCCAGTATGAGTTTGCTGATGAACAGTGAGCTTATTCTTCCTGATAAAGGCTTTGCCACATTCACCACATACATGGGGTTTTTCCCCAGTGTGAGTTCGCTGATGAACACTGAGTTCATTCTTCCACATAAAGGCTTTTCCACATTCACCACATACATGGGGTTTCTCTCCAGTATGAGTTCGCTGATGAACAGTGAGTGCATTCTTCCATATAAAGGCTTTTCCACATTCACCACATACATGGGGTTTCTCCCCAGTATGAGTTTGCTGATGAACAGTGAGAACATCCTTCCTAATAAAGGCTTTTCCACATTCACCACATACATGGGGTTTCTCTCCAGTATGAGTTCGCTGATGAACTGTAAGCTTATTCTTCCAGGTAAAGGCTTTTCCACATTCACCACACACATGGGGTTTCTTTCCTGTGTGAAATTTCTGTTGTTCTATAAGGCATTGCTTCTGTCTGAAAGCTTCATCACACTCACTGCATACATAAGGTTTTTCTGTAGTATGAGTTCGTAGATGAGTTTTGAGATTTGCTGTCTGAATGAAGCCTTTGCCACATTCACCACATACAAGGTGTTGTTCTCCAGTATGAGTTCGCTGATGAGCAGTGAGATCACTATTACTGCTGAAGCCTTTCCCACAGTAAGTGCATATACAGGGCATCCCTGCCACATGAGTTTTCTGATGTTCCTTCAGGTATGATTTATGGTGATAAGCTTTGCCACATTCCAAGCATGTATATGGTTTTTGACCTGGAAGAGCTTTTTGATAATGTGCAGTGAGTTTGAATACTTTGTCGAATTCTTGCCCACACTGACCGCATTCATAGGTCTTATCTAGTATATGAATGATGTGATGCTCACAGAGGAAAGACTCCTTGATGAAGGTCTTATCACCTATTTGTAGATTCTCAATTTTGTCAGATTCCTGATGCTGAATGCATTGTGACTTCATGCTACTGGATTTTTCACAATCTGGGAATTTTATTTCAGTATAAAATTGCTCTTGCTCAACATGGAAAAACGTTTCCTCATCTCCATTGAGCACAATTGACTTCTTTATTTTACTGCTATTGTTCTGATTTAATGCCAGAATGATTAAACCTGATTTTATAATTTTTTCATGTAAGCCAAATATCTCATAATTTTCCTTTAGAGGAAAATTATGTTTGTGCTGATGAAGAATATTTTCCAATGTATTAAATCTGTAGCATTGTTCCGTTCTGTCCAAGCTTCTTTCATGTTGCCAGTGCTCAAGCAAATGATCATCTACCTTCTGGAGCTCTATAAAAGAACAGAACATTGATTCTTTTCATCATTTTGATTTACAACACTCCCCTTAAAACCCGTTTTGATACAAGGCAGAGCTTTAGTGACAACCCTCATAAGTGATTGTAAAACACTACGTTTAATGTTTGCTGCCTATTGTAATAAATACAATTGTGTAAACAATACAATGGTAAAAAGAATTACTGTAGAAACCAGGTTGGATGTACAAATACTGAGTGAACACAGATTTGGTAGTTGCTTAAAAGGGGCCATGAGAATATACAAAGACTGTAAATACAAGCAAAACACTGAGACCCATAGACCACAGGGGTGGTAAGGCCTGCTAAGTTCAGTTGCTAGTGGTCAGATGTATTCATTCCCTCAACCTTTACTGAAAGACAACTAAGTACTAGACAAAGTTGGGAATGTGAAAAATGCAGAATGTTCTACTTGGGAAAAAACGATTTCACAGGTATATAGGAAAGGCAGTATGGTACACAAACACATTCCTTATGTGTATGGAGCCTACATTCCAGCTCACGCCACTCATCTACCAGTGTTGTCCTGTGGTGGTTGCATGCTGCTGTAATGCCGGAAGCAATGCCACCCAGTATTTCTGATACAAGCAGGATCACCCATGGTATACAGGTCTTAGTGGAATGTCCAGAAATATAGACTGGCAGAAGGAGCTGGCGATATACTTCTGGAATGTGAGCCACTCAGGTTTAATGTCACTAAAATAACAATGAAGAAGTACTAACTTCTCAAAGTACAGTCAACAGTAATGATGTGGATGGAGTAATGCTTTGGGGACCTTCAGTGGGTGACATGGCATGACTGAAAATGAGAAAAAATAGCTGCAAACATCCACTGATAATTGGAAGATGGAATGTATGAAGTATTATCAAGAAAAATTCCAAGTTGTCAAAACAAATTGACATGTTTAAAGATTTCTAGTGTATGCATTATTAAACATTAATACACTTATACTAGCTATTTTTAATTAGATAATCAATGGTTTATAAGGCTGAAATTGACCAATTCAAGGAGTCAGATCTCATATTCATTATCCAATAGTGAACTGCAAGATCTTTCCTGGAATACAGTACTGTCAGCGGTAGATTAATATTCATATGCCTACAAGTAAGACCCGTTACTACAAGTGTTATTTAAATTTGTGCACCAAATCTAAAAGCAAATATAAAGTGTGGGATCCAGCACCACAGTCAAATAGGTCCTTAGGAGCGGGGTGTGCAATTAAAGAAGATAAAGCGGACAGCTAAGACAGGGTTCAGGGGCCTCATGTGCAATGCCGAATAAGAGATTGAGGTCATATAACAGTGAGTTTATATAGTAGTGAGGCATGTATTTTCATTGTTATCAATTGTGACCAATTGAACATAATTAAGCATAATTAAAGCATAGGAATCAATCACAAAACAACATGTATTTATATATTGTGAAATATTTATGTGTTTTCCAATGGTCTTAGGCGACCCCTGTGAAAGGGTGGTTCGACCCTTAAAAGGGTCTCAACCCACAGGTTGAAAACTGAAGCATAATCCTGTTTATGGTGGGAGATCAAAATCCAAGGTTGGGTTGGGTACTACAAAGGGAAATCCATTCTTAGTCAATAGGAGAGGAATGTGCTGCATTCTGAGGAAAGTTACAAATTCAAAGATGTCTGTTTGGAGAGAGGTTTGCAAGATGGACTTTCATAGTATGGTAGGAGGGCATTAAAGAGGGAAAGTTTTGAAAATCTTAAAGAAAGAAAATTATGGAATCAAACATACAATAATGTAAATCAAAGAAATGGAAATATAATCTCAGAAGTGCTAGAGGAATATTTCTCTGAACTTCTAGGAAAAGTGAGGTCTCACATTCAAAGAAGCACACAGTTTTATGTATTACCCAACACCCTATCCTGGATGTGAGGCCTTCTCCCAATTGAATCAACTCCCCCAGCCATTTCCCCTTACGGCTTTTTGCTCACACACCTGAAAAAATTCCACTATGGCTTTTTTCTAATGCAGACAACAGTTGTTCTCCTAGTTCCAATTGAGAGAAAGCTTCTGGGGTGATAACTAGAGAACCAGTTCATGAGAAATTACAAAATTTTATACACCCCAAAACTAACCTTAGGTTTGTGAAGTCTGCAGGATGTTGTATTTCTGGGGAAAGAATGTTCAAAGCAACAAAGTAAATGGTGCTATTTCAAGGGTAGAAGACTGTTGTTACCCACTAACCTAGGACCAGGGAATGCAATGAGAATCTACTTCTTTGAGAACACCACAGACACTGCAAAGATTTTAAAACATAAGATGGGAAAAGCTAATGACAAGGCCAATAACTTGAGAATTCTCCTCACCAATGGAAACCAGGTTGCTATAGTTCTCCAACATCACATCCTGATATAGGTTCTTCTGAGCAGGGTTCAGGAGCTGCCATTCCTCCCCGGTGAATCTTACTGCCACATCGTTGAATGTCAGTGATTCCTGCAGTAAGGAGTCTATTTAATGAAGCATTTTCCATTTGAAGATTTAAAAAAATACCTTACAGTAAAAACAGCAAAACAGTAATAAAAAATATTCTGTTATAGTGCATTCCATAATGTGTGGTAAACTAAGGACTTGGTAGAAAGTATTTGACCTTATTCCTACACTCGACACCATGGGCACGGAAAACTAGCCCAATTTACAGAAAGATCTCTATTGTTCCGAGATAGAAATGTTTTCAAATACACATTCTCCAGGCCAAATAATATGCCCCCCACAACAGCCCTCCAGTAAGAAGCAGTCAGTCTTAAAGGAGATACCATAGTAAATTAATCTTTTCTGTGTCTGGCTACTTCACTACGCCTGAAGGTTATCTGTAGATCAGAGCAATTGTGTTCTATAGCCAACCAACCATACCTGTAGCAAACCACTGTGGAGGGCTCAAAGTGGGGTTGTGGGGGTTTGAGGTCAACTACCACTAGGTCAAGATCGTGACTCACCTTGCTTGTTTACTATGTTACACACTTATGATATTACCCATTGACTATGTATATGTTAACTGTGTGATGTGGATGCCTTATGAAAGATCGGTAAGCCCCGTTATACATTCTCATTGGAAAATACATTCACTCTCTCAGTCCTGACATGGGACAAGGAGCCCCTAGCCCCACTGCCTGTCAGTCTCTCTTTAATATTTTCCACAAAGTCGCTCCTGAGGAACTGTTCAAGTGTTGGAGATATCCATACCCCAACAACAATGCATCCACTCATATAATCTGAATTTTGAGCAGCAGTGAAATTATCTGAATGAGCTAGAAATAGCTCACATTTATATCACACACAGTCGATAAACACATACCTGTTTATATTAACAAACAAGTTAACAGAATGTTGTGAACTGGAAGTAGGAGTCCTAGCAGTATCACCATTATGAGATGCTCTGGACCTTCAGTGGTAATAGGTATCAGGCTCAGTTCGGGGCTGATCCCTATGAGGGGGGAGGTCAAACATACCCCAGCTCTCCAACATTTTGGGTCAATTATTACAGAAGTATTTCCTCCCACACCACTCCTGGTCTCTTTTCTGGGTTTGATAATCCATTATTATGGCCACACCAAACTCATATATCAAAGTGATCTATTAATGAGGTACAACTGAGGATCAGGAACAAGAAGCTACAACTCAGGCCAAGAACAGAAAGCTCATAGGTAAAGTCTTGCTTCTCGGGTGCAGAACAACTTTCAAAGCTCTTATAGGCCACCTTAGAACACGCTCCTCTTGTCTACCTTAGGACAAATTCTTAGCAGCCACCTTTGGACAGTATTGCCTTAACTTTAATTACAAGGTCCTCTTGGACCTGCCATCTTTCCTCACATGGTCTCCAATGGGCCCCTCCTAGTTCTGTTGCCATTGGCTCGAACTTTGGAGCCTTCCTAATCTTGCCTAGTGAGGGCAGGTGGAGGTTGGCGCAAGAAGCCTTCATATCAAGAGGAGAGCAAGAGGGAGAGGGAGAGAACTGCCTGCAGGCATGGTTAAGAAGAGACCGTGGAACACTGGCCTGTCATCTGACCTGTTGATTTTGTTCTGTTAGCCCCTGCAGCCACATAGTACAGAATGAACCCATGGATTAAGGATTTGCCAGCTTCCAGAAATGCATGAGCCATTTCCTTGACATCCCTCAACTGGGAGCCACCTATGTGACCTGATTTCAGAGTTTCCATCACTCCAGGCATCAACAGCCTGTGTGACTTTCCCTCAGCCCCTGCAACCTATTATCTGACCAGATTTAGCAACTTAACCTTGTGAGGCAGAGCACTGCTTTCTGACCTGATGATCTGGTTCATCAGTCTTTGCAAACACATTACTGAGGAGAACCCTCCAGACTGATACCTGACCTATGGATTTGGGGCTTGCCAGTTTCCACATCCTGAAGAATTATTTACTTGATGGCTATTTAGTCTTGTGAGATGCTGCAGAGCAAATCATGGAACATCTTGAACTTCTACCTCACAGCGACTGGTCTACTGCTGGTCCTGCAAAATGAACTGTAATATTCTTGCGTAAGAACTGTACCAAGAGATCCTGAACAGGGCAGAGGGGACACAGTGACAGAGCCAATGGTGACAGGTCCAGAAAGGGCTTTTCAGGCCAAAATAGTGGGACAGGCAGAAAAGATCAAGAGGAGGAGATGGAACTTAGATATGAGCCTATCTTCAGAGGGTAAAATGTCTGAGAGGGACAGAGAGAATAGGCTTGCCCTGAAGAAGAGCAAATCTGCCGACTTGTTTCCGTAACATGAATCCCAATGTGTAGCCTATTGATTCTGATACCAAGTTACATTCTGTTACTAAAGAAAACTTGTACCTGTGACTCTGGACTGTAATTTGTACATGGCCACTGCACAAGATTAATGAACCGAGAAGGAGAGGGCTAGGAATGAGAACTGGTGTCAGAACTGGAAAGTATTCGAGGGTACAGGGATGTTTACGCTCTGCCGCATAGGAATCAGGGCTGGTGCTAATGGTTGATTCTCTCTCCTACATCAATAGTTAGAGGAGGCGAGATGCTGTCAACCATTTTAAAAGTACTATTGCTACAAGACCCATTTTAGATGCATTAATGAGAATCCTGCTGTTTGGGACATAACGTTACACATTACCTTCAGAGGAAAACATTACAGAAACTTACTCAGACAAAAATCCTGTGGAATACTCAACTTTGCTAAAGAAATTATCTCACTTCTCATTAAAAAGTAGGCATTGCACGGGGGGAGCAGGGCACTGACCCACCCAGGGGGTGAGTATTGTTCATGTCTCCACAGAATTAGGAGCGTGCATGCAGACCCCACCACAGGGCACAAAACCCCGAGGTCAACATAAACACATGGAAAAATGCATGAAAAGACTGAACTACAGGGGCAGCCCCAATCAGAGCAAAACTGCCCCCCTCCCTAGAAATAAGTGCTACAGAGACAACACTAAACCTACAGGCTGGGGAGAGGGGCTGGCACGCCACACCCACAAGGAAACAAACTACGAAGGAAAAAGAGAAAGGGAGGGTCTAGACCCCAGATCGGCACACCAAGCCTGGAGGACGGAGCAGTTACGGCACAGAGAGGACAGTAGGGCCGATAACAGCTCAAGACATGTTGTCCCCTCACTGCAGCACACTGAGACAGAGGACAATACTGGGGTCACACGGCAGTGAGTTAGTACAGTTTGAACTCGCTGCAGTGGGGAGAACCAAGAAGGGAGCATAACAGATCAGCAACAGGAGCAAAGCCAAGCCACAAAGCCCCTGAAGAGTCCCCAAAATAGACATCAGGCTAGGAGGGGCAGCTCCTGGAATTCCCCCAGGACCAGTGGAGAGACAGTCATAAAGGTCAGCAGACAGACGTGGAATTATGTATGTTTTTGTTTTGTTTTTTCAGCCCTTTTGTTTTCTTTGTGTTTGGCCTCTGTTGTGTTTGGCTGCCTACTTACATAACATAGGCATGGGAAGCAAGCTCAAGGAGAAAGCAATGGGACCGATGGTCCTGGGGGGACTCGGGGGAGAAGGAGGTGGGGGAAGGGAGGGGCAAGCCGACAATGGCATAGACAGGGGAACAAATAGGGAATTAAAATCAACAACGAGGACTAGACATCCAAGGAGTGTTGGAGCAACATCAATCTAACTGAGAGGACTTACTAAGAGGCAGAAGTAGGGCAAGCGAGATGGTTGGGCAGGAGGAAGGTAAAAGAAAACAGAGGAACAAACTAGGAAGCAAAAATATGAGTAGGTGTGTACATGTGTAAATACATTTATCCATAAAATAGAGGTATTGGCCCATGTACATATATTTACATGGCAATTCACTGAGGTTGCAGATGGACTCTGGGCCTCTGCTCATTCCCTCCATCAGTGCAAGAACTCTTTGTTCTAACAATCTGGCATTCTGTGATGCTCACCCTTCTCAGCACAATTGCTGAAGACAAAATGGGTGCAAAAGCTAATGTGGTAAAGAAAGTGAATGGTGCCTGGCTATAAATGATATAATGCCTGCGGTCTTAAAGTTAATTAAGCGGCCATCTACTAGAGAAGCAACAAGTCCACAAGGAAGAAGCACACCTGCCTGTGTGATAATGAGGTATCGACAGAATCGGGTAATCATCAGAAGACCCAAAAGAAACCAAAAAAAAAACCCGTATTGTTGAGAATGAGGGGGATCATGGAACAGAGACCCAAAGCCCCTCTGTAGACAATGGAACATCCCTTAACAGAGGAGTCACAGGGAAGGGATGAGTCAATCAGGGTATAGTAAAGCACCTATGAAACACACAATATTGTTCTGGTTCCTTGAGGCTCCCTCACCACCCACTATCATGAGTCCAGTCCTGTCTTTCACTGTGGGCTAGATACCAGAAGGGTAGGGGGAAGGTGGAGAGAGAGGGGAGGAAGGGGGAACCAATCTCAAT